AGCGGGGAGGAGGCCGAGGCCCACCTGCTGGAGGCGACGCCCAGGCCCTGCCCCCGGGAGAGAATTCCCGCCTTTTCTCCTCACGCCGCCTGAGGCGGTCCCCTCACGGTCGCGCAGGCGAGGGGCTTCCAAGGAGGGAGCGGTGACGACCGGGAGCCCCTCGCCTCCGCGTGTGTCGCCTCAGGCAGCAAGAGTGGCGGTCCTTCCTTCCCCTCCCCCCCTTCAAGCGCTCGTGCTGCTTCACGAGGCGGGAAACTTTGCCACCTTCTGCCCCGAGTTGGCCGGTGAGGAAAACCATTTGGCCGCTTGGGTGCAAAATAGCTCAGGAGGGCCCTGTTTTCTAGCAGCTGAGAACCGTCTCCCGTCCTCCGGGGACTATCACACATTGAATGACTGCCGGGCGACAACGGTGTTAATAGCATATTTCAAATATACTTGAAAGGTGGCCCTATGGAGGAGGAGCAGGATCGCCTAGAGTGGTCGAGTAGACCAGATAGGCAGGGCATAAATCAAATAAATAAATAATTAAATAAATAACTTCAGTGCCATGATCTCTGCTTCAATGGGGAGCTCGTGGTCTTGTGTTGCAGAGGGGGGGTTAGAGGAGATAACAGATCTGCAGGGAGGGGAAGCTCTCTGCATCCTTCCTCACAACCCCCCCAGCAACTTATATTTTACTGACCTCAGAAGGGTGGAAGGACAAGTCAACCTTGAGTTGGCTAACTTAATTGCAGTACTGCGGCTTAACCACTGCACCATGGGGCTCTTCCTAGTCAAGCTGCAGGACACAGTGCAACTCTTAAAATATTTGTATAATAAATTCAAATTGTTTTACAAATAAAGGCAGTAATCTTAATGCAGTTGTTAATATAGTTTTCTGATTTGTAACAGACTTTATTTCTTTAATACTGTACTGACTTCTAAAAAGTTAGTATCCTCGGACAAAGCCACTATATGAGTATAGGAACTCCATTCCTGATATCCATTCGTGTTTTGAGTGTGCTAATGGTCTGTTGACATCTCTTAGTGGTAAGGTACACCAGTTTATAGCCATGTTCTCCGATCCTAGTTGAAATGGATTTAAAGAGAATGCAGACGACACTCTAGCTCAATGTGAGGAATTTGCACACTTCGTAGGAAAAACTGCTCAGATCCACTCTGACATGCTACAGCTGTGAGGACACACTTTGTAGGAAAAATTGCTCAGATCCACTCTGACATGCTACAGCTGATGCAGGCGCTGTGGATGTAACTATGGTCCCTGCATGTCCTGTGTAAATGGATAAGTTTGTTTATCCAGTCTGATGATGTGGACAGGGCCCCTGTGGAGGTTAAGGCTATCAGTTGCCTCCTGGACGCTTGCCCTTCTCGGCTTATAAAAGCCACTTTGTAGGAAAAATTGCTCAGATCCACTCTGACATGCTACAGCTGATGCAGGCGCTGTGGATGTAACTATGGTCCCTGCATGTCCTGTGTAAATGGATAAGTTTGTTTATCCAGTCTGATGATGTGGACAGGGCCCCTGTGGAGGTTAAGGCTATCAGTTGCCTCCTGGACGCTTGCCCTTCTCGGCTTATAAAAGCTGTGGGAGAGAAACTAGTCCAGTCTGATGATGTGTGTAGAGGTTAAGGCTATCACTTGCCTCCTGGACCCTTGCCCTTCCCGGCTTATAAAAGCTGTGGGAGAGAAACTAGTTGAGTGGGTACAAGGAGTGGTGAGTGCCTCCTTGCAGGATCCCAGCATGCTTAAAGGAGGCAGCAGTAAGATCACTATTGAAAAATCTCTCCTCAGATCACATGATACTGGATAATGACTGGCCAGTCTCTATTGTTCAATACCCTAGCCACTGGCCTATTGTGTCTTTTAGGGTTTTGTCTTGTTCCCTGCGCTATTCAACAGCTATATGAAACCGGTGGGTGAGATTGTCCAGAGTTTGGGAGTTCTGTGTCCCCAGTATGAGGTTGATACTGTATTCTATTTCTCCTTGTAAAAATCTGAGGAGCCAATGTAATAAAGACTGATGTGCACTCTGTCCCACAAAGACTATGATACTCCTTTTAGTCCTAATAAAATACATTTTGGTGCTTCAAATTGTGTCACTGAGTGTGCTCTCCACAACTGTGCATGAAAAGCAGTTCGGCTCATTTACTCACTTTCAAGTATGCAAAAAAGGATAATCAAAAGGAAGAGAAATTTTATTCCACACCCTTGTCGTCTGAGAAGCTACCGTATTTTTCCGTGTATAAGATTATTTTAGGAAAAAGTAGCATTACACTAAAAATTGAGGGGCGTCTTTTACACTCAGAAGCAAGCAGAGAACATGGAGAGAACAGAAGGGCCCGTACCTTGCCTCTGTAAATAGGCTTCCTTCAATCAGGAGGCTTAGCTGCCTCCAATCACGAGCCTGATGGAACTGACATCAGCTGATACTGAACAAACCAACTGGAACAGACCTCGTTGGAGGTGGAGTCTGTAGGCTCAGATTCAACAGGGACTCCTAATGTCCGAGCTCAGAGGCTGAATACTCAAAGCTAGGTTTTCTTAATTTTTGGGTTAGTAAAGTAAAGTGGGGGTGGGTGGGTCTTATAAACGGAAAAATACAGTAAATTTAAGAAACAAGGCCACTGCTTTAATTTACATCGTACTGCACGTTATATCAAAATTTTATATTGATATTAAAAACAGATCATTCAGGACAGACACTAAAATATGGCACAATCAATGTACCAGAAAGTAAAGCTTGCTTGTATAAATTTGAATAAAGCAGGCCAATATTTCAGCCCTGTAATTAACCCTTCGAAACCAACAAAGACTGCTCAGGAAGGGTGGCAACAAGGAGCTAACATTTAACTAAATCTGCATTCTTTGCAAAAGCTTCATGGCCTGTGATGTTACAACAGCAAATCCACACCCTGTCCTGCTGAGGCTTATGCTGATTGGGGCACTTTCAACTTCTTAAGTTCTCTTTTGGGGGTTTTGGGAGCTTTCCTGGCAGACTTGATGACACCTTTCCCCATTTTAGTAGTTACAGAAGAATTTGCTGCTCGCTTCTTGGGGGTCTTTGTCTCTGCCTTTTCCAAGACTTCCTTTGACTTTTTGTCTTTTTTGAGCAGTTTTGGTGTGTGCAGGCTAGATTCATCTTCAGGAATGTCCAAAGGGGTTTCAGGTGTCACCAGAGATGGGAATGTCTTCTTCTTGAAAGTTGTTGATTCCTTAGGAACTGTCTCAATGTTTTTTCCTGAAGCACTAGGTTCTGTAACCTGTATCAAAGTGAAAAAATAAAGACACCCCTCAGGAACAGATAAAAATTCATAATTATTCAGAGTTTACCTTTACCTTTATTCAGAATAACAAGTATCTTTTACATCAGCGGTCCCCCACCTTTTTGGGACTGTGGACCGGCTGAGCCTCTGAGGAAGGCGCCCCCCCCATAGGTGGGCGCAGCTGCATGCGCTCTCTCAGGCGCATGCGTGAAGTGGTCGGGGAGCACCCACCCACCAGCACCAGACACATGCATAAAGGGGTGGGGGAGCGCTCACGCCGGCACTGGCATGCACGCATCGGGTGGCTTTCTCCTTTTTTTAAAAAAAGGGCATCTTTTCAGGGTTTTTTTTCCAAAGGCAGAAAACCCTCATTTTTAACGGTGTTTTAGCTAGCAGAGGATCAAAAGTGTTCCTGACACCTTGCTCACCTTGAGCTACAACTATGTAAAAATATCTTCATCTCTGTCCACAGAGAATACAGTCTCATGCATCTGACAAAATAGGCTCAAATCCACAAAACGGTACCTCAAAATGAATCTTTTGTGTTCAACAGAATCTTCAGTCTAGTTAAAGCTCTGATTTAAATTAATCAAAAGTGAGAATGGTTACCTTTCTCCTTTTCTCCCCTTCCCTTTCGATTGCAACCAGCTGTGGAATTTCTTCATCTTCCTCCTCCAATTCATCAACAGTGGGGGCTGCCACCGTCCCCTTTTTCCTTGCTTTAGGTGTAGTCTTCCTTTCAATTACCTTCTTTTCCTTTTTTCCCTGCTCTTTTACTTCCTTAAAAGGAGGTATTGAAAAAACTGTTAGGGGACCAATCCCTGCAATCAAAAGATCTACAAGTAAATGGGAAAACACCACTTTGCATGAAATGCATTTTGTTAAAGCACACCCACTCACAAAAATCCTGCTCTGTGGTAAATTGGCCAAATATTTCAATTGCTTCTAAGTGGAAATGTTGTAACCTTCAGTTTTTGAGTGAATGAATGGTGAAAACAGAATGTATACATTTAATGGGAAGGGGGAAGGTTTTTCTTCATTTTGAGAATGGGATACTACAGCATTCAGTATTTAAAGAAAACCTCTATGATAGCCTTTGTAATATACTTATACTGTATATATGAATTTTCAGCCTACTTACAATAAGGGATGGAAAGTAACACAGTACATTTTTTTTAAAAAGCCATTCCTGCTCATCGTCTGGAACAGCTGATGCCACCCTAAAGATAGATATGTTGGACTACAACTTCCATGGCTTACTGGCACGAGAGGTACTAGATGGCTAGTATGTGACATGCATGCATTCATGCGTGTAAAATTTAATTATACCACATGTGTCCCCCCCAAAAGCTAAGAACAGGGCTTGAAAATTTTTAGAATGTCTCAATAGTCAAAAATTTCACCAGTCAGCATGACCGGACTATAGCCTTGCAATTTATTGGAATTGGGAATCATTGATTTATACTGTCAGACTTGGGTTGCTTTATTACCTGCACGCCTGTGGGGTCATGAAGGTTGTATTTTGAATGCCTTTCTGTTGAATGTCTCCAGCAAAATAAAACTGAAAGCAAAAGCGCCCGGCCTCTTAAGGAGCCACGGTTCCCTCCCACCCCAGGATGTATCCTCGTTAGGTTGAAATTGGGAGCAAGGAATTTCCATATTCTCCAGCACGGGACTACTCTAAATTCTCCTGCAGAAGTATCTCTCTATGTACAGCTCAAGCTCTCTTTTCGCGAGAAGAGGGCAGTTTTCCTTTTGCAATGGGAGGGGGAGGAGGGACTGCAGGATTAGAGAGAGAGAGAGAGAGAGAGAGAGAGAGAGAGAGAGAGAGAGAGAGGTGGAGGGGAAGGAGGCAGTCAGGCAGGGAGCTATGACTCGTCCAGCAGCTTTTTTCACTCATCACAGATGAGTGCATTTTTCAAGCCCTGGCTAAGAATGTTATTTTCTGTTATTGATCACTTTCCCTTTTACATTAGTTTTGTAAAGTAGGTCATGCTGAGAAAGTGTGACTGACACAAGGTCAACTAATGAGTTTCACAGCTGGGTGGAAATTTCAACTTAGGTCTTCCCAAAACCTGACTTCTGTAATACCTAAGTCATTTTTGGGTGGCTAGATATCTTTTAAATAACACGTGTACATGTGGTGATTCTGAAAAAAACCCACATTATTTTATTCTATGATAAAATAAAAATATATCGTGAAAATCTTTACAATGTAAACACCTTTTTTGCATTGCAACTTAAATGCCAAAGCAACAGCCAACAGGACCACTTTACTAACTACATCCAATATACCTCTTACCTGTTCCGCTTCGGTACCTGTCTGTTCCTCAACAGCATTTGATCTGGGATGACTCCAGTTGAATATTGGAAGTGCAACAGATTTGCCTGTTTTGAGGTGAAGAATTTTGACGCTTTTCCAAATCTGCAGCAATAGACAAACAAGAAGGTAAATCAAGTAAGCCAGACACATACCAAAGAACTTTTATTTTATTCCTTTAGCTAAACAATTCAAATCCAGGCATGTTTACTTAGGAGCAAACTCTACCGCAATGAATAACTCCTGGATAAGCAACATAGGATCCAGCATCCTTACCTTTGGTGCTTTAGCAGCCACCACCTTAGCAGCAGCAAGAATGTTTTCTGATATCTGCCAGGCTTCCATGCCAGTGTGGCCAATGCGAATTGTGCTAAAACAAAGAAAAAGAGGCAGCATGTTAGAGTGGTTAGTGACGGACTGGGAATCGGGAGAAGCTGGTCCAAGGACTCACACGGTCATGAAACAAACCAGATCATCCTCAGCAATCACTCAATGTCTCAGGCTGATCCACCTCACAGAGCCATTTAAACCAGATCATCCTCAGCAGTCACTCTCAGGCTGATCCACCTCACAGAGCCATTTTGAGGACAACATGGGAAACAGAAGAGCCATGTAGGCCCATTGATTGAAAAGGAGGATAAGTGTAACTAATAACATTTTAAAATAAGTTACTTTTGTGTCTTTACCTTCATAATAAAATTTAAAGTTGATTAAATGTTTCACCACAACCCATTCACACCATGATTTTCATATGGTTCACAGAGTGGGAGACACATTTCAGGAGGATCGTTCTGATAGTTCCTGAATAAGTTGTCAATAGTCTGAGACAAACAAGACTGCTCATTTTGGGCTAAATCCAAGGTTAATCATAAAACAGAGCAGACTTACTGAAACACTGGCTGAAATCCTATTGCTTAGCATTATATGTTGCCCATCTGAATCAGTGGAACCTATAGAAGAGTTGGCTTACCAAATCGCTACTCATTCAGTGGATCGACTCAAGTGCAACTCACTACACTAAGCAACAGGATTTTAGCCAATGAGACTCGGTTAAGTCAACACTGAACATTCCATTCCACTGATTCAATGTGACTAACAAGTTGACAGAGCCCTTGCTCTTTTGTGTTTTCTAGCATTCACTATAAACTGCCTTGAATATCTTGGCAGAAAGGTGATATGTGTAAACAGAGCAAGTAAAACACAAACATATTCCAAGTGTGATCTACAATGCAAAATACTCACTAGCAACAACCCTTATTGGTGACTGGAAGAATGGTTCCCTGAATGTGTTTGTTGATTTCCTTAGCGAGATCCTTTGCTTTCAGGTTCACAGAGAGAGGCGCCCTGAAGATTAAAAAAATGTGATTTCAGCGAAAGCACTTCCAATTCCTTAAAGGCAGGGATGGGGTATGGGTGGCCTCCCAAACATCCAGGGACGGCAACTTTATTTCCTGACTTCTGGCCATGCTGGCAAGGGCTGGATGGGAGCTGCTGTCCAACAATAACTGGGAGGAGGACACTTTGCCCAGCCCTGCTGAGAAGGGTTTGGTACAGAAAAACATGGACAAAGAGAGGCACTTACTTTTTGCTCTTATAAAAATGTTTCCCTATGTGTGATGGCAGAAGTCTTCGAATACGATCATCAGACAGGAAGAGAGCAAAACGGCCCAGGAGACGACGCTTTGCTTCAAAAGGCTTGTATTCTGTTTTTAGTGTTTTGTAGGAAATTACCTTCAAAAAAAACCACAAGTGAGCGATTAAGAAACAGCATCACTGGTGTGCTCATTACAGCTTTGCTTTTGGAAAGAAAAAGGGGAAATCAACTGCTTCTCTAGAAAGATAGGAAACATCCTTGTCGCCCCATATACATCACACAGCTAAAAATTTGATGCTTAAACTTTAAATATTTTATGGCCTTAAAACAGTTCCCAAATGGGAAGAACTATGAGTGACAATGATGCTGGCGCAAATTCCATTCTAGCATTCTCCATTTTCCTCCAGAAATGGAAATAAAACAAGCTTCCATAGTACTGCTCCAGGTTAGCCATTCTTGTGCAGTTTAGCCATTCTTGGAGACTGGGTTATTTTATTTGATTTATTAGATTTATATACCGCCCATCTAGAACGTGTCTACTCTCGGTCCGGCCACACAGTCTCAGCTTGGTCTATCTTATTGCTGTTACAATAAAGCGTTGTTACAATAAAGTTTGAAGGTGCAACATATGGCTGTCAACTCATTTGAGGGGATGTGGGAAAGAAAGTAACTAATAAAACACCTTGCATAATGGTTGCAGGGCAGCCATGTAAAGATTATCTAAAACACTTGCCTCCCTGCAAAAGCAATCACTATAGTAAGGAATTGGAAGTAGGGTTGATAAAAAAATAATAATAATCAAATCGATTTAAATTATGATTTAATTGATTTTTAAAAATTTAAATTGTAAAAAAAAAAACACTCTAATTTTTAAAATTTAAATCAAATCCACCCTGATTAGTACTGCATGGATCAAATGTCTTGTCAGTTTGTCCATGTTTTAACTGTAGCTATGTAAATTTAGCATTTCATAGCTGATAATCTTTTTGGAGCTAATATCAGGAGGGGACATTAATTTTCCTCAATTTTGTCCCTCAGGACCACGCCCAGTGCTGTAGTGATAGATTCTGCACCCCAATTAGTGCAGAATTGCCAAGCAATAGGTTCTAGTAGTGCACACCTCCATCATAAAGCTAATGAACCTTAATTGCTTATTTAAGACCAAGTCATCCTAAAATAGTTCATTTTGTTTATTTATTTTTTAGACAGTCCATCTGGTAAAATGGTTACTCTGGGTGGTGTACAATAATAAAAGAATAAACCAAACATCACACACAGGATATTTGTTACTTCCTCTGCCCCACAACTACCAATATCACAATTCAGCTAAGAAAGGAACAGTTCAGTTCTTTGCTCCTGTGAGACCCAGCTTCACTAGTGTGTACCTAGAAGATATGTTTTGCATCTGATGAACCTCAGTGTCATACCTACCTCAGCAATGTTTGTAATCCCATGCTGTGTCAGAAGCTTTTTGTACAAATTTTCAGTCTGTTCAGCTGTTAAACCAGGCTCATCTTTTGTGAAAAGGCAGACCTCCGATGTTATGGGCAGGATACCATGAGGCAGAGGTCTAGAACACAAGGAATGGCAAGATTTTTCAGAATGTATGTGAGGCCTTCCTGTTGAGCCTAACTTTTTTAAAAGCTGCAAAATACCTTAGTTAAGCACACACTCCCAGAAAGATACGAACAACGAACATACTTTTTTCCTGGTCTCCAAAGAAAACATAGCTGGCACTACCTGAACTCGTCCCATCTGGACTTCTATAAATGAGGTACCCAGACAAGTAATACTCCCTTCTCTTTCAGATGATGAGGGGCAACCAGAGATAATCCATGCAGGATTCAGACAGAAAGGTGAAACAGAAGGCAACACTGGTGGTACCTTGGTCCCAATGTATTTAGTCTTCTTAGGTAAACTCAAACCATTTGAATGGTGCCTGTTAGCCAGAGGTAGGAATTCAGGTCACCTCCTACCCACAAGGCCATTTCTGTGGCTGCACAGGAGAAAAGGTGATATTAAAAAAGTAAGGCCTCTAAGAAGTCTGATTTTCCTCTAAAACAAGGATATAACACACACCAGGTGTGTTATAACAAGAAATGCATTAGAGGCAGGATAAACACAGACATCTCTAGAGTTGTTCATGCAACACTGGCTAAAATCCTGTGCTGTAACTTATGCCACATAAAGCTGATGACATCATCGGCCATGGTGAATTTTTTTTGGAAAGTAAACATTTCTGATTGCTCCCCCACGAAAATGTTTCAAGGTGCACTTGGAAACCTTTTTTGTTATGCGGAAACTGTTGGGAGCCATACGGCAGCAGGCAAATCTTTCATTTTTGAAAATTGCTGCCACTAGTATTTGAAAAGTGCTCTCGTGTCTCCCCTCAGTCTTCTTTTTTTCAAGGCGAAATGTGCTCACTTCTTTTAGTCTTTCCTCACAGGGCTTCATTTCCAGTCCTCTGATCAATCTTGTTGCTCTTCTCTGAACTTGTGCCAGTTCTTTGGCATTATTCTTAAAGTGTAGTGTCCACAACTGGATATTGTACTTAAGATGAGGTCTAACCAGTAGTGAATAGAAGAGAAATAGTACTTCATGGGATTTGGAGACCATAGTTCTGCTAAAGCAACCTAGAATAGCATTTGCCTTTTTTTTGCAACTGCATTGCTGTATCAGCTTCTAATTCATAATTCAAGTATCCTCCGTCTTGTAACTGTGTGTTTGATTCGGCACTCTCCTGCCCCCGATGCAGAACTTTGCATTTATCACTGATAAATTTAATTCTGCTGTTTTCAGCCCAGCAACTGCAGTGGCCTTCTGTGGTGTAGGAAGATCCCAGGGGCAGGGCAGAGTGCAGCTTTCATTCGGCAAAGAAATAATAATTTATCCTTCTTCTTTTTTTCCTTTTTAATTTTTTTAAAAATTTAGTTTCTCATTCAAAGGATACACTACAGGGAAGGAGATTCAAATAGGAGCCATAATTCATCTTTCTGTAGCATAGGAACTACCCATTTTCAGGCATGCAGTATGTCAGCACCATCAGCAGGTGGAGAGTGCAGCAGTGATGCCAATACAGCCTGGTTGTGTCTGTGCACCATGGGCTGGTTGTTTGCCCTTCCCCCCGCCCACACAACCAAGATCCTTACATTTTGATCACTCGCTCCTCTGATGGGATCTTCCAGACAGTAATCATTAAGAAGAGAAGAAATTCTTCATTCAGCAGCAGTTTTTCTGCAGTTTTCTTTTTGTTCTTGAAGTAAGCAAGCAAAGCTAAAGTTGCCTTTTTAATCTGAAACACCCAAACGACAATGTGGTTAGCATCACATTCTTTAATTTCCCAGAAACAGCAAAGATATTTAGTTCAATGTGGAAGCTGGAAGTTCATGGAAGAAAGTAAGGTGTTTATTTAGCTCATGAAGGCTCTTCCTCAGAACAGACAAAAGCCAAATGCACACTTCACTTACAAATGAACCTGTCAGAAAAACGCATACACTAGCCTCTCTTTTTTGGTCATGCCTTCTTTTCTAAATATAAGTAATTGTTATCACCATGCAACAGCCTGAAATGGTATATCCAAAACCACATCAAAATTCTGAGTTTTGTAGAATCGCAGAATAATGCAGTTGGAAGAGGCCTATGAGGCCACCAAGTCCCTACTCAATGCAAGGATCCAAATCAAAATAGATCTGACTGATGGCTATCTAACTTTCCATTGAACGTCTTCAGCGCTGGAGCACTCATCAGTTCCTGAGATAACTTGCGCCATTGCTGCACTGCTCTTAACAGCTTTCCCCTGATATTCAGCTGAAATCTGGCTTCCTGTAACTTGAGCTCCAGTATTACAGGTCTCACACTCTGGAATGATTGAGAACAGAAGGTGCCACTCTTTTGTACTCTTTCAAGTATTTGAAGACTGTCAGTTCGTCTGCATTGTTACTCGTGCACTAGACACCACATTTTATTTTTAAAGGCCAGAGCAGCCAGCTATACCTTGCAAATCATCACACATTTTTTAAAGTAAATCACCACTACCAAAATATAGCACTTCTGCTTTTAAGGAGCAAGTATTAAAATGTTAAAAGTCCCCCTCATTGAACAGTGATAAAATATGTCAGTTGTCGGTTTTGCATGTAATCTTTCCTCCGGAGCGCTCAGGTCCTGGTGGTTTTTCCCCTCTCCCAATTCTCATCACCCCCGTTCTGTAAAACGGCTGAACCCAAAGGAAAGCCAGAGAGCTTACCGGCTAAAGAGAGGTTTTAACCAGGATTGTCCCAAGGCTCCCGCTGATATTCTCATCAAATCCGCCCCCCCCTCTCTTAACAGACCCCCACCAAACATCAGATCCAAGAACAAGGGCGTGCAGTCTCCAGCTTTCCAGGTGTGGTTCGGTGCCAAGAAAACCGACTCGCAGCGCCGGCCACCACCAGGGCTTGGGCTGACAGGGGGGGTTGCACCCATAAGCTTCCCATGCCAGGCAGGCAGTAGTAGTAGCAGCAGGAGGCAGGCAAGCGCTGGTTCTTCCCCGGTGGGTAGAAAGAAGACCGCGCGGGAGCCTGAACGGCCTGGAGCCCGAAGTTGATGCCGCGAGGGGTCCCCCCGGCTCCCCGCGCCCGACTCTGACCTGCTCGGGATCCAAAGGAAGCGCCCCGTCCGCTGCCTCCATGCTCGCCTTCCTTCCACGTGAGACCAGAAGCGCGTTCCGCCCGTCGCGCTCGAATGACGTCACCGACAGCCCCTGGAAAGGGAGCGAGCGCCGCCTTTGCGACGGAAATGCCGGAGCGATAAAAGGCCCACTTCCGGTAGAGAGAGGTGTCTTTCTCTCTCTCTCTCTCTCTCTCAGAGGATGGTGTTGGGGGCTTGGTTTGTGTTCTCTCCACGCTCTCTCTCTCTCAGAGGATGATGTTGGGGGCTTGGTTTGTGTTCTCTCCACGGCAAGGCTGGACTGACTGCCTTCCCTCTGCTTTCTCTCCCTCTCTTTTTGGCAGAGCGGCGATATATGATTGTATACACATACAATTTCTTTGTATGTGTATATACTTACAATGACAATAAATTATTATTATATGAACACCGAGAGCAAAATACAGGGTTAATTAGCCCTTCCTTCCAGGGGGTGGGCGGGCCGCCCCCCCTTTTGTTCTGTCTGGGCGACAGAGCAGAGCTTCGAAAGTGGGTCCCCCCCCGTTCACTTTTCCTCCCAAAGCACAAGTTTCATAAGGCAGCATCGTAAATGGTTGTATATAAATGGTTGCTCCATCGAAAGATCATTGCACCTACAATATTAAAATAAAATAACAAAATCATACAGAAAATTGTTACATCGAAACTCTCACCTAACATCTTCTAGATTTCATACCACTTTTGTAACACATAAGAAAGCTAAATGAATGAGCAGGAATAATTGCTAAGGCATTCGGCGCCCTCGCCTCCATGCCTGTCAAAAGGTCGCAGCAACCAGGTCTCCCTCAAACAGGCGTCCTCCAAGAGAACGCCGTTCAGTTAAAAACTACTTGTGGCCAGCTGCCCATTGATAATTTCGTAACCACAGTGCTGTTTAAAATTTGAAAAATACTTTCAAGGTTTGAAGCAAAACCAAGCTCTGACCCAAAGTGAGGAAAAAGCTGTGATGATTTATTTGTATGGAAACTTCCTCTAAGCAGAGCTTTCTTGATAGAAGAGTTGAGAATATCAATGGCTCTTGATCATTCTTATGAAGGTCTCTGAGACAGGAAAGTCAGTTCTCATGGTCGCTTAAGAGCCTTTAGTGGGAGCCGCTTTCATGTTTGAAATGTGGTGGGGTTCTTTCTGATCCGTTTTAGGATAACGTAATAATCCCCCCCAAATGTTTTTGTTATTTGTAGCATAAATTATATATACTATGTAGATGCATTGTTTGACATAATGTACATTGCAAGCTGTTTTGTACTGTATAATTTGTTTGACGCTGATCTTTGTAATAAATTCAATTCACAATAAATTCAATTCATTAATTGTCTTAATGAGAGCAAATCTCAGGATGATGGGAAACAATGCTTATTGTCTTTTAAAAGTTTTATGAAGGCAACAAACATAATTTTCTCCTGTCCTGAGACATGTTTGCTCTGCACATGAGTTCAAGTTGGATTTTCTCCTATTTTACAATTCTCAGTGAGAAAGAACATGGCCATAGTCCTACTCCTACTTTATCTGATCACTGGGGTTGTGAGTTTTCTAAATACTTTGCTAAGAATGCCTTGCCTTGTTAACTGCAAGCTGGCGTTATCTAAAAACGAAAGCAGATTTCTTACAAATGACATGCTTGTTAAGCCAATGTACAGATTTCTAACTGCCACCTCATTTAATTTTTTAAAGCCTTTTTTGTCTTCTACACAGTATCTGTTGCATTTAATTTGATCTAAAATTGTTTGATGCATCACTTTAGATTCCAAATGAGGCAAAAAGGACTTGCTATTAGAACACTGTCACACAATTATGTATACGTATATTAGCTACACAAATTATAATTACAACAGTTTCCCATATAAGTTAATCTAAAGTGTTACAATGTATACTGTACTTATTACAGTACAGAGATTAATACTTTGCACAGTCATCATTCTTCCAGCCAAGCAAATTTGTTTAGATTGGTCACATGGCCAGCACCAAACCTTTGATGTTTGGCGGCAGCAGCTTGAGGCAACGCACAGGTGTTGGCTTGCTGTGAGAGAGTGGACACATGGCATAGGGAATGAGAGATTTGGCAAGACTTGACGCCTGCAGCAGAAGAAATGACAGGACAACTGTAAATACACCACTGCCACCCAGCAGATGTTACTGATATACTCAAAGAGGATTTTTGTCCGAATACTCACAAGTGGTTTACCACTCCCTTCTTCTGGGGCCACCCTGAGACTGTGTACCTTGCCTAAAGCCACATAGGTTGGTTCTGCAAATACTCACAAGTGGTTTACCACTCCCTTTTTCTGGGGCCACCCTGAGACTGTAACTTGCCTAAAGCCACATAGGTTGGTTCTGCTCTCAGGAAAAAATCCTGAGATATAGCCACACATATATGCTGTATTTTTAAAAAGCCAGTCTTAATAAACTCAGAACAAGGATAAGTAAGGTCTCATGGCAGGAGATCCTAACAAGAAAAGGAATCCCAAGAAGGGTGGGAATTTCTTTAAAAAAGTCTTAAAGGCATAACTACAAACAATTCCAACAAGAAAAAAAGGTGAGAGACAGCCAAAAAAAAAAAAATGCTAGTGTGGCTTCACAAAAAGCTCAAACAGGACCTGAAAACAAACAAACAAAAAGGACATGTATAGGAAGTGGTAAGGAGGCTAGGCCACAAAGGAGGAACGCAGACAAGCAGCAAGGAATTGCAAGGATGGCATTAGGAGGGCAAAAGCTGAGAATGAGATGACGTTAGCTAGAGACACTGAAAGCAACCTAAAAAGCATTCTTCGGGGATGCACATAGCAAAAGACAAAGAAAAAGAAACCAGTAGTTTAGCTGCTCAGTGGAGATGGAAAACTGATAACAGAAGACAAAGAAAAGGCAGAAGTGATAAATTTATCTTTCAGCTCAATCTTTTCCCAAAGGATAGACTATGACCCTCCAGACAAATGTGAGGTGCAAGTGGAGGGGAAAAGATTGCAGCTGGAGACTGATAAATAGTCAAGGAATACCTTATTACCTTGAATGAATTCACATTTCCAGAGCTGGATGAACTACATCCAAGAATATTGAAGGAACTGACTGAAGAACTCTCATAACCGCTGTCCATTATTTTCTTGAAACCATGGGAAATGGGTGAGGTGCCAGACAGTTGGAGGAGGACTAATGTTGTCTCTGTCTACAAAAAGGGCAAAAAGGAGGCATCTGGGAACTACAGACCAGTCAGCCTGACATCAGACTTCCTGTTAGAGCAGTATGACAATGGAACCAATTACCTCGAGCGGTGGTGAGTGTTCTAGCATTCAAGAGAAATTTAGACAACCACCTGGCAGATATCCTTTGATTTGTATTCCTGCATTGAGCAGGGGGTTGGAGCAGGCTCCTTCCAACGTCATGATTCTGTGATTCTATGAATGCACACAGATCCCATGTTTTTTTTCAATCTGACTCTAATACCCACAGGAAGGCTCCTGCCAGCAAGAGACTCTAATTCAGTTAAAGTTAGTGGGTTAAGGCAGCATACATGCATTAAACTATTTCTCCTCCATTGCTCTGATGGTTAAGGAGGGCATCCAGCAGAAAGCAGTACATATAAGCTTGGTGGCAAAGGTTCCAAGATTCAACTCCCATCTCTATGAAGGTAGGGAACGGCTCTTAATATATCAATAGGAAGAGAAAATTAACACTGTGGCATGACAAAAGTTATAAAAAGCGCAAGATAACTGCTGCAAGTAAAGAGATTTTGCAGTGCTGGTATGAAGATTGATATGACAGAAAACCAGGGATTATGTTATAATAATGTGCTTGTAGAGCGGAAACTGGCCTGGCATTGTATGTGCTCTTGTGATGCACACCAAAAAAGTGCTACTATTTCTACTGCTCATAAATAAAATTCCATTCCATTACAGATGCATTTCAGTATTACAACTCAAAACGGAATCTATAACTAAATATGCCAGTCTGCTATTTCAACACTTTAACCAAAAAAAACCAAACAACCAAACAAACAAACAAAACAAAAAACCCTGGAATTTTCTTCCACATGCTGCTACCTGAGATGTCAGGTTTGGCAGGGATTTCATTTTTGAAGTTCAGCAATTCTCCAAAGCAATGTTTACTCAGATGACAAGGATTCTATTCAATTACAACTTGACAAGTGGAGTGAAAAGGAGCCGAAAAACTGCATTTTTAGATGTTGATCACTAGTGGTTAGCTCAGTACCAGAAGAAAGATTAGAAGCATCTTCACACACTACTCTCAGACAATTATTGCAAACATTCTTTCCCTCCAATTCGCATTGCTCTCCCAACTGAGTACAAGGGGGAAATATCTGAATTTTGTAGTTCAGTTTAGAGTTTCTATGACTTTTTAATTTGCAGAAAAATAAAAGCCCAGAATTTGCAGACATAATAAAATTTATTTAAATCTCATGCATTACGGTAGCTAACAGTGTAGTCATATGAAACTGAAGGACAATAAACTTTTTTTTCGTCCATACAATGTAGCCTTTATGTAAAATGGAAGGGAGATTCCGTGGTTACAAAGAAACAAAAAGGGGTGAACATTTAAATTTAGAGTTAGGTGAAATGGAACAGTCACATGACTGTAGATGGGGGGGGAGAGGGCACATTACTTTTTGAACATACAACTGCAAAAGATTTAATTGGAGAAGCATTTGAACAAACCAGCCGTCTATAATAAGCCTAATCATGGAGATTGCCACTAAACACATTTTGATCATCATTGCACCTCCCCTTTCCCCCAATTTTTAGCAATGATACAGATTCTGCCTACAGCCAAGCAGATAAGTTTGCTACTGTATTCCTCTGAAAAGCTGACCTTGTAACCTGTTACTCACTTTTGCTTTCCTCTAACTCAAGTTGTTCTGATATGCAGAAATTTATTAACTGTGCTTGATTTGACTCTCAGCTTTAATCAGCAAACCTTCAAGATTAAACAAGTGGTATAACATTCAGTGAGGTGTCATCCAGCTGCTGCCAGGTCAACACTGAATACTTACCACTCTTCAAACCCCTTATCTGTTCGATTTCCTCTCTATCTTAAAACACAAACATAAAGATTTCCTTGTCTTTCAAGCTAAAGACAGAACGAATGGAGTAACTTTTATCCTAAACTGGCACCTGAATTCAGTTTTCAGGCTGAATATCATATACCAGTATTATTGCCAGAGTTGTGATATAACAGTCCCAATAATTTTATTGGCTAGAATTTTAGCCAGAAAAAAATTACGATGTACTCCTGAACACAGCAGGAAGATCGAGCTCACTTCTGTCCCTAAACATTTATGTTAAGTTTTTAACTTAACATTATATATATATATGTATCTCCATAAAGTGATGCAACACTAATTAAATAGTACCATACTTGAACATGTTTTAGATCCTTTTAAAACCACCATAAAGAGAGGGCAAAATAAAATTTTCATTAGTAAATTTTTTGTTAATTATCTAATTGCTTCATTTTAAACTTGGCTGGGGAAGGAACGCCAAGGTGAACAGCTGGGTTTTTAGAAAAGCCTAAGTAACTGAATATTCAAATTACTTGGTAGGTTAAAAGCTAATGCAACGGGTGTTACATTTGGATAAAAACATTATTCAAAAACAATTAAGATACCCCAAAAAAGATTTCAAATTGAATAGTTTATTAACATGGCAATTGTCTTCATAACATGTGCACGCACACTCCAAATGATCTGCCTTGAAAAATGTGTCAATATGTTTTTTTGGGGGGGAATTAAACATAAATCCTATAGATTTTTCATAATTCTAGGCAGTTATGTCCACATCACTTATAAAGCTATTGCCAAATCTTTCCAAGGAAGCAGATTTTTTTTGTGGGGGGGGGAGGAGAAAAAAAAACTTTGGGAAATTCAACAGTGGCATAGCAGAGCTCTCAATATGAGAAAGCTGACATAATGTGGACCTTTTGCTGTGAAATATCATCTTTGCAAATACAGGGAGAAAGTTATCAATGGGAAGAAAATAAGAAGGCGACGTGAAGTAGGCTTTCGCAGAGTCACTTTTTCCTCACAATATTTGTGCCGGCTTGTTAAAAACAAAGCTTAGTCCTTCTCCGGAACCAATTTCAGAACTTTCCCAATGGCAATTGTCTTACCTAAACAGAAGAGAGAAACAACTATTAATGATAAATGAAATGGTCCATCTTTAAGAGTTCACAAATGAATTGGAATTCTCTTAGAGAAACAGCCACAGAGATTTTACTATGCACATTCATACCGAGTGGTGTTTCCAGAAGCAGGACTAGAACTGTTTGTGGGGGCCATATTGAAGGAATGACTGCTTTGCTTCAGCAGTGCTTCTCAACCTATGTTTTGGACATCAGCCTGCAGAAGCCCCATCCTGAACAAGGCTTAACGTCCAAAAGATCTGATACAATCGTCACCGTGCGGGAATGAAAAAAATATATTGTGAAACAAGGACAGGGAACCTCTTTCAGCTTGAACGCTCAATTCCATTTCAGGTTAATTTTTTGGAGCTGCTTTCCAAAAGGACCAAAATCAAAAGCGTGGGGCCGAAAAACAACATAATATTGTATATTAAAGCTCTTACTGCCAGAAACTAAGCTTTAGGAGAGGCATTTCTGCCTTTGGGGTGGGGAATGGCTGTCAGCAGTTGGAAACTCATAAATGAGGGTGTCGTGGGGGCTGGGATGCAGTGCTGGAGAGCTCCAAAAGGCTGGACAGGGACCTCAGGATAGCTGATTCAGCCCCAGATTCTGAATTATGCTTTAAAGATAGTAAAGCAAAATAAATATAAACCCTGCAAATATGTGAAATTATGATAGTCTCAGTGGTAACTAGTTACAGATAACTGCATCATGAAAGAAAAGAAGGCAAGCAGTCACATTTTCTTTGATCAGATGACATCTTCAAAACCAGTCAAAATATCAGAGACGCTGCAACGAGACAGCAGGAGAAGGACACAGCTCTGTCCCCTGGGCTGAATTCTGACCTGTTTGGCACACACCAGGGTGTCAAACCCACCCCGAAGAGGTGGACCCGAGGAGAGTATTAAGGGAAGACAAGAGGAGGAAATCAGCAAAATTAATTTTAAAAAGCCTGGAAGATCTATTGAAGACAGACCAAGTGCATAAAGATCTAGTGGAGATAAATCAGATACATAAATTGATTTCGGAGGGCATGAAAGATGGCAGAATGCTTAGAGAGACAGAAATAAAAAATGAAAAAAGAAAAATAAGTGAGGGAATTACTTAGAAAGATGAAAAAGGGAAAAATAGGAAGCGGGCCCTTAATGTTGAAAAACATGTATATATATATAACTTCGGGAATTGTAAAGAAGCATATCCTTTATATTAAAAAGGAGAATTAAATTGAAATAAGGGAGCTTTAACCAGGGTAATAATGTAATATGGTGGTTTTTCACTTTAGGTAAATTAAACTAGATATAAGGTTGGGGCATGGATCTGGAGCTACTTTTATTAAGAATGTTATTAGAAGATCTTGAGAATATTGTACACTATGAAAGTAATATAATGATAGTAGCCATATATATACTAAAATACGTACATGAATGGTTTGAATGTTTGAAAGATGTCTGGAATTTGGGGGGAAAACTGGGAAGACAATGAGCTGTAAAAATCAAATAATTGTAAGCAAATAATATAACACGGTGTCTGACAAGCACAAATCAAATGTAGATAGAGTGGAAAACTAATAAAATGTTTTTTAAAAATAGCAGAGAAGAGCAATTTAAGGCTAGATGTCAAAGAAAGTGATGAGCTGATAGTTGTGAAGTTTCTTTCAGCATTATACCAGCTGCTATCCTCCCCCAGTTAATGTCTAACTCTTGTGAAGTGTTCTGGGGAAACTCAAAAAATACATTTCGGATGGTGCTAATAAATGTACTGTCCAACTGTGGATTTCACCATGTCTTTTTAAACAGACCAAACAATTTCCTTCACTTTTTGTGTCACCACCTTTGGTATCTTCATTCCTAACCAAAGTCAGGCTCTCTCATTCACGCCACTTTTCAACATAAAAAGAACAATTTCTGGGCATACAGTTAGCTCCTGACACGCTTCTAATAAATACAACAACCTCTAAATGATTTGCTATTATCACCACACATGGTCTGGATCAAAGTGAATTTGATATGCTAAGTAAAAGATGCCAACACCCCAAATCAATCTTCAGACCCTCTTACCCTCGTCTCTTAAGGTGAAGCGACCCATCTGGGGGAAGTCTTTGAATGTCTCAAGGCAGATGGTTCCTGCTGTCCTTAAACGGGCGATGCATACTTGATCTTGTTTGACAAAACGGGGCCTTGTTTTACTTTTCTCTCCTGATTTTTTGTCTACTAGACAAATTAAGGCCTGCAAAAGAAAGAGATAGGTTGTGAAACAACAGCTAGTGTTAGAGTACTGGATTAGAACTAAGGAGACCTCAGTAATTAGATACCCAGCTAGAATACTAGATTAGACCCAAAATGAGTAAGAAGAACTAGATAAAAAACATGGAAACTAATGAATATGCATCACATACTACATCCCAAAAGTGATGTGGAGAGATTATATTTACCACCAAAAATGGTTACTGTGGATTAATACAAATACAGTAAATACCGTGTTTTCCCAAAAAGAAGACAGTCTTATATTAATTTTTGCTCCAAAAACTCATTTCCTGTAACTTGAGCCCATTGTTGTATGTCCTGCACTCTGAGATGGTTGAGAACAGATCTTGCCCCTCCTCTGTATGACAGCCTTTCAAATATTTGAAAAGTGCTACAGTATCACCCCTCAGACTTCTTTTCTCAAGGCTAAACATGCCCAGTTCTTTCAGCCTTTCCTCATAAGGTTTGGTTTCCAGCTCCCTGATCATCCTTGTCGCCCTCCTCTGAACTTGTTCCAATTTGTTAGCATCCTTCTTGAATGAAGTGTGGTGTCCAGAAATGAACACAAGACTCAAGGTGAGGCCTAACCAGTGCCGAATAGAGGGGGACTAGCACCTCACAGGATTTGGAAACTATACTTCTATACTTCTAAAATAGCATTGGCATTTTTTGTAGCCACATCACACTGCTGGCTCATATTTAGCTTGTGATCTACGACAATTCCAAGATCCTTCTCACACGTAGTTTTACTGAGCCAGGTATCCCCCATCTTGTAACTGTGCAATTGGTTTCTTTTTCTGCGGTGCAGCACTTTGCACTTATCCCTGTTGAATTTTGTTCTGTTGCTTTTTGACCAGTGCTCCATCCTATCAAGGTCATTTTGAATTTTGTTTCTTCTAGGGTTTAGCTATTCCGCCCAATTTTGTATCATCTGTAAATTTGACAAGTATTCCCTACAATGTCATTGACAACATCAGGGGCCTAATTTACTCATTCATCTTCCAATGTGACCTATGCCATCTTGTGCCTGCAGCACCCTTCTGCTTCCTACAAAAGTCAAACAAGACAATCTCTGTACAAAAGAATGAACAAACAGAAATCTGACATTAGGAATTACAACACAGAGAAACCAATTTCAGAAGACTTCAACCTCCCAGGACACACTGTTAAGGACACTCCAGAAGAGATAACAGAAACTGGCTCTACATAAACATGTTCTAGGGCAGTGCTAAGGGTCTCAAAAAACAATATCACAGATTCTTAACATTCCTGTGACAGCCAAGTCCACTTGGCCTACAAGTGTTACTTTGGCCAAGACCTACTAATTGAAGTAATTAATAGCTTGGTAAGTTGCATTCCTGCCTTAACAACAGGAATTAATTGCCACTTTGTCAATTATTTGTATCTGGACATGGGGATATGTATTTGCACTCCTGTACTTGAGGAAGTGGGTTTTCATCCATGAAAGCTCACAGTGAATTAGTCTTTGAAGTGCAACAATATTTTGCCTTTGTTCCCTTTTCTTGACACCAAGATTACCTAATGATGCCGGGAGAGATTGACAATATTTTGCCTTTGTTCCTTTTCTTTTATTTATGACACAAGATTACCTAATGATGCCGGGAGAGATTATTTAATATACAGATAAGCATTAAAAAGTGAAACCATCTCTATGACCATCTATCTTTCATGCTAAATCATTATGACACTGGATTATCCCTGTGTAGTCTCAACTAGAAGAAGCCCCCTGAACTGAATGAGATCTGCTATCTACATGACTACCTTAACTCCATTTATTTCTATCTATTCATGGTCTAGCTGAGAGTGAATTTGGCTTTTGTCCATATTGCTCCCAGTTCTCTTGCTGATGAGACAGATTGCTAATACTCACTGTGATCTCAACTTCTTCGATACATGTATGAATGTGCAGCACCGCATTGTAACCTGGGCAGATGATGGATTTGTGCTCAATTATCACTATCTGAAATCAATAAGAATTCAGTAAGTCTATCTATTGTAAGACAACACCCACTAATTGTTCTGGGTACTATGTAAAAACTCATCACATCCCTCCCAAGAAGAGGAAATTGCTTTAATATAAACATACTGGTGTGATAACTGATGTACAATCAGGATTCTCCTTGAAAGGCTGAATGCCTTAAGAGGGATTAGAGAAAAGCAAAGATGGATTTGAACTAGTATGGAAGCAAGTATATTTATAACTTTGTTTCCTGAACAAGATTTAACTGCTAATACAGCCTTAAGGCGTGTGTACCTTTGAACCAAGGTGTACCAGTTAAAATACCAAAAGAAACAGCTCTCATTTCAGTATCAGCCCTCCTCAGTTAAAGATAAAAACATTTTAGTACGCATACCTGAGCATCAAAAGTGCGTCCTGAATGACACAAATTATTAATGTCACAGAGTATAAACCCTGGAAGAATCTCCTCCTCTTCTATTCCTTTCAGTCGGATCTTCAGATTTTCACCTGGAGCTACAGCATCCGTTTCTACATCATCAGAAAGGATCCCGAGGACTTCCACATTGTGCTTAAAGATAGATTAGCACTTTCTAAGGCATGAAATGTTCATTTACTTCATATGCTACACAATTATTTATAATTCAGAACAGCGCAAAGGTCTCTGCCTGCTTAAAAATACAGACTGGATCTGCAAGATTTCAGAAATCCATAATGTAAGGGTTCATGAAGTGATGCTAGTACTCCTTTATCAACATTTTCCCATCCTTCCAGCTTCAAAGTAGCATCTTGTGTTCAATTACCTCTGCTCCAAATGATCATATGAAAAAATGTGAGACTCTCTACAAGTTTTCTTTCACATTTAAGGATGTGCATTGGGCTGATGGAGAAGATCATCATTTCTACATCTGCCTCTAGCCCCCACAAAACACTGCACAAAAGACTGGAACACCCTACTGGACAGGATGTGTTGCAAAGTACGCCCCCATTAAGCATGGGCTCCTCTTGCTAGCATAATAATTTCTATCCACACAAGGCAGATTCCATACCCTCTATTTCAAAGTCCTCTACTGCTATCTCATTGCATTTTAGATTATGCAATGAGGCAGTACAAACTTCTACCCAATAGCAGACTGTGAAAGCCAACACAAATTCAATTTTCACTTAGTGAAATCAGTAAGAATTTTGTGATGTATACAACTGAGTCTTCTATACGGTGTAAACATTTCTGTTCTGACATCTATGTCGTGTACCTAATCTCTCTCTCTCTCTCTCTGCACCTCCTATGCTTGTAAACAATATTTGTTTTATTTCTATAGCCACTGTAGAAAGTTTGGCACTTTGTGCCGGAGAACACCTATTGCCTTTTTTTTGTATTAAGTCAGAAGCTACCATGGGAGCTGAAAATATAGTAAGCTCTGCATTTGGGAAAGAAACCAGTGCCATCTGACACTACCTTTACAATACTCATCATCCCAACACCTGGAATTCTTACTTTCCTTGGTTAGCCCCTTGTTAAATGTGATTAATAAACAGCAGCAGAAGACTCAAGAGATGATGCATAACTGAAGAGTGATGTCTTGTAATTTTAAAAAGCTTGATGATGTGCATTCTCTTTTATCTGAGCGCCTAAGCAAACGTAAGCCTTCTCGGGAGTATAAAAATGTAACTTCACCGTGGAACTGATGTTCATGAGTGGGACTTTCAAAATTTTTTAGACCGCAGTCCAACCCCAAGAGGTCTCCAGGAATTCCCACTGCAGGAATTCTCAGGAATAAAGGCTCTGTCAGATAGGATGAGGAAGACAGAGGAAATGGCTGGGCAGCTAGGTTTTCTGAGTGGCACCTTGTAGGGAGTGTAATGGGCAGGGAGACTAAAAACCCCCGAATGTTTTGCAGCCGCCACAGAGCTTTGTCCCAACCAGCTGATTCCTCCGTCTTCAGTGAAGATTCGTCATGTCTGACAGAGCCTTTATTCCTCGGCTGTAAGCATTTCAAAACACCTGAGAGGACTTTAATTTTTTGAATAACCAATCCCAAAATCCTGGCTGGAGGAATTCCCACAGGCCCCTGAGAGATGCAGTCCTAAAATTACAAAAGTCTCATGCCTACTGATTTCCAAGCCAAAAGCAATGTTGCATATTAGAAAATATTAATTTAAACTTTTAAGAGAAAGAGATAGGTCATACCTTGTTTGGCATCATCACAAGCTGCTGTCCTTTACAAATAGAGCCGGATTCCAGTTTTCCCAGAACCACTGTACCCATATCCTTCATATGCAAAAAGACACAGGATAAAAAATTACTTAGCAAAAGTAAGGCCAACTTTAGAAGAAATAAAAACATTTTTAATCATATGCCAAATGATTCCAAATCAAAGCATTAAACGTATTTTGCTTGAGGTGTAAAATTCAATCAAAGAAATAAAGGACTGTGGTGAATTTTTAAAAACTTTTTTGAAAGAATGGGGGGGGGCAGACACCAAAATAATTCAGGCCTTTTACCAGGAATGTATAATTCCTGGTAAAATATATATAATTCACGTCCTTGCAATCTGTATAAGATTAGAATATCATGCCAAAGATTGACATGATATCCCAAGGAGGTTGGTGGAAAATAAGGTTCGTCATTCTTACTAAAAATAGGAGGAGACCCTAAGTTGAAAAAAATATTAGATGTGGTTGTTTAATTTTAATTGGTTAATTAATTTTTCCATTAGGGCTATGTGTCCTATTCTATTTCTCCATACATGTAAAGTTAAATTACAAGTTTCCTTCCAATGTGCCCTATTCTATTTCTCCATATATGTAAAGTTAAATTACAAGTTCCCTTCCAGTTTGCGGCAATTTCCAAATGTACTGCCATACAGAAAAAGACAAGCAATTGTTTGTTCTTGCCTGAAAATAAATACAGGAGAGCTAGATTTGGCAACCTGATAATTGTTTTGCTATGATTAATGGTATTTCTGTAAAATCTCTGAACTATAACAGTGAGGCAGCTTACAGGGCATGCGAAAGTACACACAGCTATTTCTACACTTCCTCCAATAGTCCTGATATAGCTTAAGTGGAGTGGTGCAAAATGCCACCTGTACAGAAGCTTAAAAGAATTAGGAGGAGATTCATTTGAACAGAGTTTTGCTCCATAGAGCCTGTCATTTTTCATCATCCCCGGTTCATTTTCTCAATCCACTTTGGGTCCTGATGTATTGCTTCGGCAGGATTCAATTAATATTTCATATGATTTCGAAGCCCAGCCCTACTGGTAATTTAATGTTGCAATTGCAGTTAATTTCGTGGCCTGTACTTTCACGACAAAGAGAAGAAAAATGAACAAGCTGAACTATTTGAAACCATGAGAGTGAGCTCGTACTTCATGATTTAACAGTTGTTCACAAATTTTGGGACCAGAACTGTTATACAAATTTCTTTATATAAATTACAGTCTTTCCATGATTTAAACTGAGTCTATTTGTCAACATCATAAAATAATAGATGGCTAAGAAAGAGGGTCTAGTGGGGATGGAGTGGGAAATGACTTATTTTGCTGGCCTTTCTGAATTTGTTCCATATTCCTAAGGAATAGATTTTTTATCAACAGTATGGATCCCTGTTAATTTAACATTGCCAATAGACCCCTTTACAAAGAAGAACCTGCCATTTAGGTCTTTCAACTCTCCCCCACACTGGAAATTTATCTGTGAAGTGATAAGTATTCCACAGGATTTAGAAGAACCTGCAACTCAACAACAGGAACTTAATCTGGTTGAATGAGGAATCCCATTTCACTGACATTGAAAGATCTGGCATCCTAATGTAAAATAGGAAGATCCCTATTTTGAGTGCAGCTACAATTTGGACACTATAAAAAAACCAACCAGAACTCCAGATAGTGATGAAGGAAAGGTTTAGAATGTTGCATATAACTTGTACCATTGAAAAAAAACCATCGTCAGAAAAGCTTCTGTAAAATTCACCTGAAACAGCCCTTTGTGTAGTGAATTTCAGGCTGCCATCTAAAGCAGAGGTTGTCAACCCCTGGTCCATGGCCCAGTGCCGATCCGTGGCCTGAGCCGGATCAGGCCGCAAAGACAGACCTCCCCCCCCGCACGCACTCCCCCCACAGCTGCTTTGCAGGTGCGTGGGCAAATGCGTGAAGGGGTGGGGGAGCACTCATGCCGGTGCTGACATGCTCAAAGCAGCTGTGGGGGGGAGTGCGTGCGGGGGGCGTAGGAGGTCTGTCTTTGCTTGGCGCATGCGCCTGAGAGCATGTGCTCCTTCATGCATGCGGAAGAACGCGTGTGTGTGTGTGCCCCGCCTTCCTCAAAAAGGTTGAGGACCGCTGATCTAAAGGATGATAGCAATGAGGGCAAAACTTGGGGGAATGGAACGGAAATATCATTTTTAAAATACTTCCAGCAATACCAATTATTCTTACTAGACCATTGTTTGAAACACACACAAAAGGGAATGAAATCAGAAGTACTGTATTTGAATTTGACCATCAGATAAAAGTTCACAAATTTCTCATAGAATTAATAATAGTTAATCTTATTGTTGCATGGGTGGAAATGACTATACAGTAATAGCTTTCCTTTCTCCTTGTCACTCCATAGGAGGAACAAGCAATGATCCAAAAGATTCCTTTTTTGGCAAGGAGGGACTATATGCAAGGAGAGCAGGTAATCTTGTGCCTCTGAGGGTGAATTGAGAAGAGTCTATTTTCCAGAATCCAGGAGAGCTTTTGGATCCAACCCAATGGGTAAGCAAGTCCTGAGCAAAGACACTGCACAGCTTTCGGGGTTATGTAGTTAAAGCTAAGCAGTGTTGTGTTGTATTTATTCCCAAGGCTATTCTAATTAATTCTGACAAACTTTCCCAAAATCTGTGAAGTTACATTTACAGAAGACCGTGGTATGAGTATCTGTGCATGCATTTATGCACTTAAACCTTATTCTCTAGGTCTGCCATATCAACACAGATGCTAAAATCCTGTTGTGTGGTTAAACTCGTGGAAGGCAAATGCTGTTTGCAGTGGTTTCTCACTTCAACTTACACTGCCTTGTACAGATGTAACTAACGAATAAGATTTTGGCCAGGATCTGCCTCTGTAGAACTTTAGTTTTCATGTTTCAGAAGTCTAGAAGTCTGACCTGAAGTGGGAGTTTCACTAGCTGAAGCAGCTATAGAATAATGGTTGTGGGTTTTCTGGGCTCTTACGCCGAAGCAACTATAGAATAGCTATGAAGCTGGAGCAACTACAGAATAGTTACGAGGGCAGCTATAACGTACCTTATATTTATCAACAATTGGCAGCCTGATTGGTCCATCAACTGATCTGTTGAAGTTTGGCAGGTTATCCAAATACGGAATAAAGGGGAGTCCTCTGGAAAAAAAAGAGGAAGGGAATGACAGTGTCAGAGAAGGATATGGCACCTCTGTATGTTAATTGAGATAAGCTAGCACCCCTGTAACAGATACATATTCAGTAACACCATTCATGAGATATGCATGCCTACATCACAAGTTGTGCAACATAACCTGAATATCAATAAAACTGGAATACAAAACATGAGGATGCATCCAGTGATATCACTCTGCTGGGGCAAAGATTCTACTACTTGCAAAACCTTTACTTCTATATGGGAGTGAAACCTGATACTTTGAGCTTACTTGCATAAACACTTTGGCAAGTCGGTGTGACTTCATCACATCAGGTATTTATTTGTACTACTTGTTCTGAAAGCATTTGCCCAAACCTAATGGAACACAGACTGACTACAGGAATATTGTCAACTGTACTGTATTTTCCGTGTATAAGATGCCCCCGTGTATAAGACACCCGCTTTTGCAACTCAAAATTCAGAAATAAATATTTTAAACAGAAAACATTTTAATTTAGTAATTAAGTAAAATTTACATACTGGTACTGTCGTATTATGAATCACACTTCGTGTTGGAGCATATCATATTGATACTTACATAGTCTTTTTTAAACTGTTGTTTTACCTGTTGTTAGCCACCTTGGGTCCCCTCTGGGGAGGAAGGCGGCATATAAATAATTTAAATAAAATAAATAAATAATTAATAAATATTACTTTATTCAGCCTCTGGGCTCAGAGCGCTGTGACATTACCAGTCAACTGTTGAATCTGAGGACTGCCTACACACTCCACCTCCAACGAGTTGTGTTCCAATTGGTTTGTTCAGCATCAGCTAACGTAAGTCTCCTAATTGTAGGAAGCTAAGCCTGGGGACTGAAGGAAGCCCGTTTGCAGAGGCAAGGTATGGGCAAATTTTGCAATCCTCCAATTCCTAAGTTTGCTAGCCTGTCCAGGAGGATACCATGTTCAACTATGTTGAAGGCTGCTGAGAGATCCAGGACCAAGAGAGCTACCCTCCCTCAATCAGCCTCTCTTAATTGGTCATCGAGCAGGATGACCAGAATTGTCGTAGTGTCATGGTACAGCCGAAACTATGAGTATCCTCCAATAACGTCTGCAGCTAATCTGCCACCACAATCTCAATCGGTTTTCCCATGAAACCCGGAATGTTGGGAATAGGATGAAAGTTGTTTAAATTGTCCGTTGCCAAGTTAGATTTTAAGAAATCACTGAGGTAGTAGAATCAGTTATGAGATATAAAGATCTTTAAAGTTGGATTGCGAACACCTCACTCTCCAAGTCACTGACTTTACTTCTAAGGCAATGGTTCCCAACCTTGATTCCCCAGATGTTCTTGGAGTAAAACTCCTAGAAGCCTTCTTGACACGATTGCACCTAAGCACCCTCTCCTTGACATGATTGCACCTAAGTGCTATGTCTTCTTCACCAACAAGTATTTATAGCAGTCTCTGGCTCCTCCTAGTGGCCAGTTCTGGTAAGGCATGTAAAACACTTTTTTTCCTGGATTTTGATTTTTATATTTTTAGTACTGTATTTTCGGACCATTAATAAGTGATTCAGTGGATACTGATACTGTGGATAAGGGGGTTCAATTGTATGTATCTATTTTAATCTGCAGTGCTATAAGCTTATAAAGAACACACTGGGATAAACTCAATTTTAGCTCCAACTTGAGTCAGGACCACTTAAATCAATGGCAGTTATAGTAGTTTTGACTAATAGGTCCCATTCCTTTTGTTAGTTGAGTCTGTAACTGGGCTTGGCCCTTATGTGATTTAACTGGTTTTTATTTTCTGTGGTCTGTATTAGGTACTGTCACTCTCGAATTGGCCTTCTCAGCCACACTAGACGCTGTTCCAAGTCCTCGATACAGAGCACGTTACCATAGTCTCTCGAGACTGAAGGATGCCTAAGAACATTAAGTATTTGTAGCTCTCTAGAGAAAAGTTGAATATTTATTACACAAGATACATACGTATACCACGGACAGAAGTCTGACTGCTCTTTGAGGTTTGCTCCAGTCAGTCCTGAGCAGGGCATGAAGTGGATATCTTTTTTGGGATTGAAGCCAACTTTCTTCAAGAATGGCACCAGTTTTTCTTTACATTCCTCATACCTGAAAGATTAACCCAAAAGAGAAAAAACTGTATATAAGATGAGAATGATCACCATGATGTACGAAATGATGGATTTGGACTGGGCTTCTTCACAAAAATGGGTGGGCAACACAGCTCTCTGCATGTTACTGGCCTACCTTCTCCTACCATACCCAATGGTGCAAAATTATATTGCAGTCCAACAACATGTAGATGGTTATAGGTGCTCACCCCTGCCATACATATTTTATCTTGATATATATTCCTCATGGACCTCAGGTGAAATAAAAGTCTGAATAAAGTTCACACATTCCAACTATTTCAGGCATTTTTCAGAAAAGGCATGTATTTCTTTGCGTTTATTATGATACTGTGATGGAGCTATTCACCCACCCTTAATGACAAGACCCTTTTCTGGTTCACAGGAGGAAGATACTATAGAAGGCACTTCAAGTTATGGTGATGTTGCGTAGGCCCTGTCTGACTGACACAGAAGGCACGCATGTCCTTCTCAGTGTAAAAGCTCTCTATGTGCAAGTAGACATTTGATGTGTACATGTATGTACAGGTGTGTGGATTCTTCCTGAAAGACTTAACATCTTTAAAATATTTTAAAGCTTTTTCTGTACCACTTACAAGATGTTACACTTACTATATTAGATCAGATTATCTTAATCCAGACCACTACAGTGTGCTCTGAGGTGCAGCAGATCCTTGCATCCTCAGGCGAGGGAGGAGAGTCCCATTACTTGCTACTTGTTCTTATCAGGTAGCAATTGATGGTGCCACAGAAACATGAATCCTTCCCAATTTGAGAAAGCATACAAATTTAAACAGGTAAAGTACCAATTGTATCCAATCCCAGAAACTCTAATGCCACAGCATAACAAAGGTGAATGAGATCAATCCCATGCCTACTGGAAAAGACACCAAAAGTCCTCTACATGCAGATTTTGAAAAACTCACCTTTCATTGCTCCAGTTCACAGTTGGATCATCCATTTTATTAATAAGAACTATTAAATGTTTTACACCTGCTGTTTTTGCTAACATGGCGTGCTCTCTTGTCTGTCCCCCTTTCTCAAAGCCAGTTTCAAATTCTCCTTTCCTTGCGGAGATAACCTAGTTTGAAGGGAAATCAAGTCAGGCAATACTTCAAGTATCAGGATACAGTCCAATTCCCTGTTCTGTCTCGGAAAGAACACTGCCGGAAAATGTCATAGACTTATAAGGAAGATGTATTCTTGAAAACTTTCAAGAATATATCTACATAGGAAGAACAACCTTCAAAACACAGCCAAAGAGCCCGAAAAACCCACAACAACCATTATAAGGTAGACTTTGTTAAGAAATGCCATACTGCTATATATTGACTATTTAAATTTTAAACAATCTAAAAATTAGAATGTACATGAACAAAGTTGCTACCTATAACTATTTTTAAGCAAATATCAAATGGTCTTAAATAACGTTTAATTGTTTTAAGTTATTTGTATTGTTTGCACTCCTCCCCTGAGACCTCTTACAAACAGGGCTGGGTATAATTAAGGAATACATATATAAATAAATAAATGCATAAAATATTACATGTATACAAAATATAATGTGAATCTGTTGAAACAGGTTACTACTTTTGTTATCAGACATGGCCAACCTAGAGTCTGGGGGCCAGGTTTCCACTGCTATGTTATGGACTGTACAACCCCACAGAATGTGATTTTAAAAACCAGCCACTTCCAATTTCCAAAATTCAAATTTTATACATTTTTGAGAGCTTTGAAGACCTTTTGGAGCCTTACACCCAATTTTAGAGTAATAGCATCGATTTTGCACTGTAAGGCTGCAAAGAGCCCGAAAAACCCACAACAACCATTATAAGGTAGACTTTGTTAAGAAATGCCATACTGCTATATATTGACTATTTAAATTTTAAACAATCTAAAAATTAGAATGTACATGAACAAAGTTGCTACCTATAACTATTTTTAAGCAAATATCAAATGGTCTTAAATAACGTTTAATTGTTTTAAGTTATTTGTATTGTTTGCACTCCTCCCCTGAGACCTCTTACAAACAGGGCTGGGTATAATTAAGGAATACGTATATAAATAAATAAATGCATAAAATATTACATGTATACAAAATATAATGTGAATCTGTTGAAACAGGTTACTACTTTTGTATCAGACATGGCCAACCTAGAGTCTGGGGGCCAGGTTTCCACTGCTATGTTATGGACTGTACAACCCCACAGAATGTGATTTTAAAAACCAGCCACTTCCAATTTCCAAAATTCAAATTTTATACATTTTTGAGAGCTTTGAAGACCTTTTGGAGCCTTACACCCAATTTTAGAGTAATAGCATCGATTTTGCACTGTAAGGCTGCCAGAGACTACAGTATAGACTGCACTTTGCCCACATACCTACTATAAGAACGGCATTCCACTGATCATTCAGCAGAAGGCACTGTACAGAACAGAAGGGATCTGTTCATACATTTGCAAGGATTCTTTTGAACATGAGAGGGACTAAAAGTAGACTTACCAACACAGCTAGATCAGCTTGGGAAGCACCACCTATCATATTTGGGACAAAGCTCTTATGCCCTGGAGCATCTAAAATAGTGAAGTGTTTCTTCTCTGTTTCAAAATAGGCACGGCCCACTTCCACTGTTTTACCTTTGTCCCGTTCTTCCTGGTTTGTGTCTAAGGCCCATGAAAGATACCTATAAAAACCAAGACACAAAGTAAAGCATGATGAAGCTCTTACAGAAAAACCTACCCGGACACCCTCAGCACAGCAAAGAAACTAAATCAAGGCTACGGTGGGTGAATGCAATCAGAAATCCAATTGAAAGCCTGAGAAGGGGCCTCTGGGGAGTGCCACACTTTTCATTCAGGGACACGCCAACATTAAAAGCAGGGAAGTTCCAAGATTATCCACCAGCTGATGGCCAAAGTCTACCATGTACTGAGGTGCCAAAAAGAAACAAGGTATTTGGGCATCCAATGTCTGGATAACTCCTTACAAGATTTCAGAAACAGGGCCTTAACCAAGAACACCAAAATAGAATACATTTTGTCATGTCAAGATTGTGGCAGATTTATTAGGCAATTTCCTGGGTCAGCCTCTATGTATACACTGCTTCAAAATAGAGTAAAACTTTCATTCTTCACTGCCCATTGCCTCAAGTCTCCAATCTTAGTTGTGCTGCTCAGCTCTGGGGTTCCCTTGGCAGATATGTGACGTATCTTTGGGGGAATTTTTACACTTCTCTGAAGGGCAAGCCAGAGTGTGTTTCCATCAGCCACCCAGAGTAAGTAAGAATTGATTAGAAATAAAATGGTGAACTTCCTCTCTATATATATATTTTAAAGAAGTACAGTATTTCCAAGCACGTTCATCTTACAACATAGGAGCTCATACCAGGTTTCTCTGTTTTTTTCTTTAGCTTCTCTTTCATATTTTTCAAGTGTTCTTTTGTCAACCATGCCTGTGAGATACCTAGAACAAGATTGGTACATTAGTTGCAATGAAGAGGCTACCTACAGGAGCAGTAGTAGAAGGGACCTTTTTTTGGTTGGTGATGGGATGAATCTCATTCAGATGCAAAGAAAACCATCCCGATGAAATAATCTTTTGTTTCTGTTACATAAAGCTGTACATAATGCAGCTATTCAAGACAAAGTCGTAATTTATTTATTTATTTATTTGATTTATACCCCGCCTATCTGGTCCAAACGGACCACTCTAGGCGGCTAACAACCACAAAAATAATATAAAACAACGAAAACAGACAATTCTAAAAGAAGAAGGCACTACATTAAATCATATAATACACCAAACAAAAAACAAACAAAAAAGAGGGGGGTCAAGAGGAGTATGATGGAAAGGCCTGCCGGAACAACCATGTCTTCAATTGCTTCTTGAAGACACCCAGCGAGGGAGACCTGCGGATCACAGGATGACTATAGCATAATAATGACTATAGCAGAGCCTGCAAAACTGATTTTGCAGAGACTAAATATTATACTCAGAAACAGCATTTAATGGGAAAAATCTCATCAAAATGTGCTGAGGATTACGCTCAGCAACAAAGAACTGCACTATTCAACTGCACAATAGACCGCACATCCCCAGTGCAACCTACTGATGCACTCGTGCAAATGCTTTGTGGAAAACACTTCTGCCTCGGCAATACTGTAACTTCCAGAGGCTCAATGCTAAGTTGCACTTCTGTAGCTGCACAACAGGATTCAGCCCAATATGGCATACAGGGAATTTTTTTGAAAACTTCTGCAATCTTTACATCCTTTCAATTCTGAATACTCTTTGAGAAAAACTATATTAATAAATGCATTTTATTTCCACAGCTATTGTATCTGCAGTTGAAGCTAAAAGTACATAATGAGAATTATCCATACAGCTTATTTCAGGGTATATTTATAGCATTTAAAGCAATTAGGAATATCTAATATAAGGAGCAATAATCTGAAAAAACTGCTTACATTATTTGTCCTCCAATTGTTGATTTACCAGCATCTAATCAAAAATTAAAGAAAGAAAATTTAAGAATATGATTATGAACTTAGTCATTCAAACCAACTAATTCACTTAGTCCTGTTTATAAAATGTTGTGTTTTCTCATCATTATATTCTTTTATTAGAGTTTCTTTCATTTTGGTCCATAACGTGAGTCAGAAATATTTCAATGGAAACACTAAGAAAAATTTTGAAAATACAATATTCTATAGAAATACATTTTCTGGTAGCTCCAGCTTATTATTTCATATAAATGCAACCACTAAATAAATGTAATGCTAGTTAAATGGGGAATTCTTGCCAGCGTAATTCATTTTATTCATATGATTCACTGTAAACTAAGACGAACAGTTCTTTTGGGATCTATATTTGGTATAAGCTGTCATTTATATCTGGGCTACAGAGTTCTTCTATTGTGTTGAAATTTTGAAGAGATTTACAGTTCTAAGAAACACCAATAAGGCCTGCTGATACCATGCCCATAGAACATAATACAGGCATCTCTGGAAAGCCTGGCCAGTTTCTAATACCATAGCTGGACAAGCAAATTTAATTATTTATTCAACATTCCATACACTGTTCATTGCAAGGAAACATAGTGACCAGTCATACAAGGAACCTTCTTATGTTACACATTTTCATCCAGCCACAGCTTGCTGAATGATCCTGGGCTAGTCCACTATCACCACAAATTACTTTTCTGATAAGAAAGAGCGTAAAGAGGCGGCAAACCATGTATTCTTTGGAGAAGAAGCAAGATAACACAGGTTTATAAATATCATTGATGTTAGCAAAGTTATCAAATTTATCATAGCCAGCATCCCATTGAGTTTCTGAAGAGTGGTAATCATGTTATCCCAGTATAGGAACATGGGATTATGCTGCTTGTTCAATTATTGTCATTGCTTTGTGAAGTTCAGTTGGGTACTAGCCCATATTGCTGAACTTGGGCAAATCTGCTTGTATAGTATATATTTAATTCAACTTCTCTAGTAAACTAAACAAACAATAATAGAATCTAGATACAGTGGTGCCCCGCATGACGATGATAATCCGCCCCATTGAAATCGCTGTTTAGCGAAATCATCGTCATGTGAAAACCCTTTCCCCATTGGAATGCACTGAAACCCAGTTTAATGTGTTCCAATGAGGAAAATACCTCCTCGTCCAGCGAAGATCGCCCATATGGAAGCCACTTTGCAAGCGCCAATCAGCTGTAAAAATGGCTGCCCTGTGAAGCATGGGTCTGGAAAACACAGGGCAGCCACTTTGCGAAGCCAAAAAAATTGTCGTCTTGAGAACAAAGGGTTCGCGAAGCACTGACCTAATCAACGTCCAGCGAAAATCCCCCATTAGAATTACTGTTTTGCGAATCGCTATAGCGATCACAAAAAGTCATCGTTATGCAGATTTGTCGTTTAGCGGGGTCATCGTCTTGCAAGGTACCACTGTACATACTGGAACAATTAAATAAGGCTTCCTTACAATCATGGTATACAATGTATTATTATGCATCCACACTCCCAGTAGAGGTGGGCAACTTACCTACATGTCCAATGAATACTACATTTACATGTTCTTTCTTGGGAGCACCGGGTGGTGCAACCAAAGATTTAGGTTTTGGCAACTCTTCCTCCTCTTCCATCATTTCTGGGATACCCTCTTCAATAGATCCTGCGTCACCAGAAGGTCCACTTGCTAATTCAGGTTCAATGGATTCTTCTTTATGGTCCCATGATTCTTCAGGGGACATTTCTGTTTCTCCATTTTCTACTAGAATTTTAACAAAGAGAATGTCAACAAACAGAAAGTGTGTTTTTAAAAAAATGTTAGCAGCACTTCAGAGTCAGGGGTACGTTATACCTAAGTGCTTAAATGACTGTTGCAATTTTAGGGGGGCTTTATGACATTTTGTTTCCCAGACTTTTTTGCTGTTGTTAAACATCAGTTTGCTCTAAACTGGATGTTTAAATTATTTTCTAAACTAGCTGTAATTTCCAAAGGGTTGGCAGACTATTTTCCCACAGCAACATTTTCTGTTGCACAAGGAATACAGAAAGCAATTTTAATATCTGGATCAAAATATGTGAATAGAGCAACAGAATGCTTTTCTCCTCCTTGTATTTGAAGCATATAATTTATTTTGGTAGAAATTACTCGTAAAAACTGGTCATACTACCTGAAGTAGGAGACTATTAGAGGCATTACAATGTAGAGATAGGAAGATTTTAGGCTCATGGGATTTCCTTTGAATCTTACAGAAACACACACATACATATACCCAACCTTTCCAGTCATCCAATGAAGGACTAGTGAACATCCCTCCATTCAAATAGTTAGCACTTTAAGTTACAACCCATTCCTCAGCACCTAAGAATAGAGTTACAGTAAACACATGCTCATTCCAGGGATTGGTTTCCATTATAAGAGTTGAAATCATTGTATTTCACATTTGCAAGCATTATCCTCTAAGTCAGGGGTCTCCAAACTATGGCCTGTGGGCCACATCCAGCCCACCTTGCTGTTTTATCTGTCCTGTTCCCTTCAGCCTGTGTGCGTGGGCGTGTGTCCATGCAGGCGTGAGGCGGCGTGCGGGTGGGGGGAGCATGCACATTCCAGTTCCTTCAGCCCTCAAAGCTATTTAAAATATCTGGTGTGGCCCTCACAGTCAAGTTTGGAGACCCCTGCTCTAAGTGAAAGAAAAAAGGGGGGAAAGGCTGGCCAATGTAGTTGTAAAACAACTGGAAGGCAGAACTCATCCCCTTATCAGGAGAGAGCTGGCCTATAAATAAGACAAATGGATAGACAAACAAACAAACAAATTCCTCGGATATCTACCCATACATCCAGATCTACCGTCTTTTTCACTCCATAAGACACACCTGACGATAAGACGCAGCTAATCATGAAGCCAAAAATATGGTACACCGAAGGCAAAAAGGCACGGGAAAAGGAAGGGAGATTCAAATCTCCCGCCCTTTCCCCCTGCCTTTTTGCCTTCGCGGAGGCGAGGGACTGCCAGGAGGTCTTTGATGGCTTCCTCCAATGGTTTCCTCCAAGCCAATGGAGGTCTCCAAGGGCTTTCCCCCGACATCAGAGGGAGCCCTTGCAGAAGTGTATTCGCTTCAGAAGACACACACACTTTTCACCCCACTTTTTTGGGGGGGGAGTGTGTCTTATGGAGCATGGTCTAAAAGGGTATTTTCTGCCCATTCAAATGCACTCATACAATTACAAGAAATAAAAGCAACAATCCTTTTGTATATAATGAAAGATTTTATTTCAGATATCAGACTGCTATATTTTGTTCCATCGCATGAAAATAGCAGAAATCTAACTTAGAAGTCTTCAATTCAGCAAGTCCAACATTAACAAAATGTATTTATAGAATTTCTCTTACCAACTGGTTCTGAGATTTCCATACTGACTGTAGCATTTGACCCTGGAGAAACAGAAACAAGTATACTAAATACATAACATTAATTCAAATGCCCACTCAAATATCTCCAGAGTACACATTAAAGTTGTTAAGAAAACAGTTAAACCTTAGGTCCTATATTTTCTAGAACAGAAACATTACCTTCACAAGATAATGGTGGCTCCTCTTGTGAAGACTCTGCACCTTAAACAAGAGATTTAGAGTTGAAAAGTTACTGGATATTACAGATTAAAGATCCAGAATAGGCAGTACAAGTAAAAGATAATTGTTTTCTTTGGTATTTTCCCCCTTCCTTGCACTCCTAAAGTGTTAACTGCACACATGAATATTATGGGATGTGCCAGCCTGTTTCATATACAATGTGAAATCAGATTGTTGTATAGGTGAAAAGAAACAAACCCTGAGTTTGCATACTGACCCTCCCTCCAGAACAGCCACGAGGAGATATGAAACATCCCCTTTAAAAACCAAGGTTTACCTAGCATTTCTTAATATAAGCCACAATCTTATGATCTGATACAAATTTGTTTGAAACACCCATAGTTTAAACTTTTATTCCCAACCTCTTGCCTTCCAGACTCATTGGGCTACATCTCCCTTTGTATCTAACCAGTCTGGTTTCAACTGGAGTTCTCAGTTCAGAAATTATTAGTGATTTTATCATGCATACATCAAAGGGAGAAGTAAGAATGCTCAGTGCTCTCTATTGCACAGAGTGTAACAAGCTAGAATATACTTTCTCTGCTTGTCACTGCAGTCCAGAAGAAATCTTGCTTAAACTGTGGCTTACAAAGAGCCATTATACCGTATTTAAACCCATCATCATGAGATACATACACAAGAAACGTGACTCTAACAAAGCCATTTAAAAAAGAATCAGTATCTAATCAACCTTCAAACTGCTGGCACCCCTAGATGTGTTGGACTACAACTCCCATCACCTCATCACCACATCAAGAGTTGTAATCCTATAGACCTGGAAGATAGATGTTTGAAGAAAGCTGTCTTTAACAATGAGCCCACTGACTCTGCGGCACCAGCGCTCCACAACTTTAGATAGTTGGCAAGATCACAATAAGAAGTGGAACTAAATACGGAAAGATTTTTTCCAGACCAAATAAGAGACCAAGTACTTTGACACTCAGCACCTTCTACCCTGTAATTTCATGGCACAAACTGAAAATGCTGGGGAAAACAGAAAGTTAAGTTTTAGTATATAGTCTATGAAGTTTGTGCAAGCTTACATAATTTGTCGGCCAAGATTCTGTTATTCAGAGACAGGAGAATCTGTCCAGGTGCAACAAGTATTGGACAGAAACCACAACAGAGCTGGAGTCAAGCCTCTCAATATTTAAGAGTTGTCCTATTCAATGGGCATGGAGTTATGACTAATTTTAAAATGCACTGATTTGAATGGGGTCTTCATATAATCAGGACCAGACCCAACTTGTTATCAATTTCATGTTTTAAAAGGCTTTCTTTGATACTCCTTGAGTTAATTATGAAGCAGTTTGCTTCTCAATCTGCTACAAGTCCTCTTGGAAGGGCTATTTACAGAAACTAAACTAAATAATACCAGCTGCTTAACTGTACCTATTTTAACACAGTGGTCCCCAGCCTCTGGGCTCCCAGAAGCCATAGCCATCATCACCAATGGTCAGTCCTATAGATTTGACAGGCCAAAGGCTGAGGACCACTGCTCTAACTCTATCACATACACTTGGATCTTCAGACATAACTAAATTACTCCGGTTTGGCTTCCTGTTTATAAGGCTAAAAAGCACAGTCACAAATATACAGAAGGAGATCAGAACGGCTATTAGCCAAGGTAACTAAAAGACGTAATACAGTGGTGCCTCGCTTAACGACAGTTTGCTTCTCAATATGCTACAAATCCTCTTGGAAGGGCTACTTACAGAAACTAAACTAAATAATGGTTAGTTTTTACCCCACTGGAACGCATTGAATGGGTTTCAATCCATTTCAAAGGGGTTTTTAATTTCACTTTACGATGTTTTCGCTTAACGGCAATTTTCCTGGAACAGATTATCGTTGTTAAGCGAGGCACCACTGTACTTCCGACTACTAGATGCAGGGAACAAACAGAACACAGCTTCCACATCTTTATTGTGAATGCCAAGCAGCATTCAACTAGTACTGTTTTCTAGCCACAGCTAGGCTTCAGTTTGGTTGATAAAAGACGTAATACAGTGGTGCCTCGCTTAACGATTGCCCCGCATTACGACAAATCCGCTTCACAAAGATGTCTTTGCAATCGCAATTGCGATCGCAAAACGATGGTCTAAATGGGGGAATTTCGCTTAGTGATGATCGGTTCCTTGCTTCGGGAACTGATTTTTGCTTTATGACGATCAAAAACAGCTGATCGTCGGGTTTTCAAAATGGCCACTGGGTGCTTAAAATGGCTTGCCACTATGCTTAGAGACGGATTCCACGCTACATGAGCAGCAAAAATGGCTGCCGTATGGAGGATCTTCGCTGGACGGTGAGTTTTTACCCCACTGGAACGCATTGAATGGGTTTCAATCCATTTCAAAGGGGTTTTTAATTTCACTTTACGATGTTTTCGCTTAACGGCAATTTTCCTGGAACAGATTATCGTTGTTAAGCGAGGTACCACTGTACTTCCGACTACTAGATGCAGGGAACAAACAGAACACAGCTTCCACATCTTTATTGTGAATGCCAAGCAGCATTCAACTAGTACTGTTTTCTAGCCACAGCTAGGCTTCAGTTTGGTTGAATTTTGGTTTGTTTTCAGAGATGCAGCTTTTTAATAGCTTCTGAGCCTAATCAGGTAAATTATGACCACTTATGAAATTTCATTCTCAATAGCTATTGTATTAATTGTTCCTGAATGTGCATGGTCTAATTAATTAGACCGGTGTTTCAGATAAACTGTTCTCCAGTACTTCCATTGTAATTCCAATACCCACATTATGTTGCTTTTCTTGATGCACTGCTTTTTACTCTTTCATCTTGGGAACAAACAACTATGGAAGTGATGTTAAGTTCCATTACAATAGTGACGCAAGTTCATAAAGTTATTTAGGTGATCTGGTTATCATTTAAGGCAGAAAAAAGAGATATGACTAAAAGTTGCCAAACTGAACAATTTTCCAAAATGCCATGCCTGTTTAGCTAGGGAAAATTCCACTGTATGCCCTCTTGCCAAGAAACATGCCGTTCTCCAATTAGCATTCTGTGAGGGTTCGGGTCCCTACCTTCATGGAACCTTCTCTGACTTTTCAATAAATGAAGCTATCTGGCTCTTTCGCTCTTCTTCCCTTGCTAGTTTTGCTCTCTCCTTTCTGATACAACAACCCCACTACCTGGTTTCCTTCTCACCCCAATATGACAGCTTTGGGAGACCTACCTCGCACCTTCTTCTCAGCTTCTTGTCAAGGTACCATAAGTTTCTCCCATTTATGGGCCCATGGGTTTTCCAACCAGACCCATTCCCATCTGGGTGGGAGAATTTCCTTTCTTTCTGCATCTACTTCTCCAACTTATACTATCTCCTGTCTAACTGATCCCCCTCTATTTATATCCTCTTTTCTCCCCCTCTTTTCTGGCTCCTCCTCCACTACGTTTCCCACCTTCTTCAACTATTCTGCCATCTCTTCCACTATTCTACCTGCCTTGTCTAACGGTTCACCCCCCCACACACTCAGTTCCTATTCTTTTCACATCCTCTTCGTTCCCCCACTGATGTTGTTAATTTCCACTCTACTCCGTTCCTTCCTGACCATGGTTCAGCCAGTTGTTCCCTCTGTCCACTTAGAACAGACAGCATTTAGGCAAGGACCGCTTTGGACTTGCCCTCCATCTCACATAGTCTTAATTCTTGTGATTTCATAATTGATGTACTTATATTCATATTTGGAAATGAATTATTATTTTCCTTCTTACAATGATTCAAACATACTGCAGCTGTGTGTGCCCTGTTTCCTGTTCAGTTGTGCCTCCTCCAACTAAACAGTCAAGCCTAATCTACCTTTTTACAACAGCCCAAGGGAACAACTGGTTAGGTTGGTTGGGAGAGAAAGACAGCCATTCGGAGAAACAACTCTAATAAACAACAGCAACCTCTGTGCAGAACATCCATGAGGGAGTGGACATAGGTTCGCCCTTAGCTGAATAACCATGCCCTCCAAGAAGGGTTCAGAAAGTGCTTAGGCGGTCATGAGACTGTTCCTCATGACAGATTAGTTTTATTGTTTTGCTAGTATGCAGTTATTCGCCTGATGTTCATTGCCAGAAACATTTTGCCAAAGATTTGAGTTTGTTTGCCTTTTGCATAATTTTATTTTTTTTCTCAGAAGCTAGTTCCTAGATTGTGGACCTGTTTCTTATTACTTTGCAACGAATACTACTTCTGGCTTCACCAGGTGCGATTTCCATTTTGTTTTGTTTTGTTTTTCTTTATCCTTCTGGTGAATCTTTTAAAAAGACTTTCTGGTCTGGAGATTGCTTTTAGGATAACTTCAGGTTAACTAAATTCCCATATCGTTGAAGTTTTGACCACTGACTACTGATATGTCACCGAGGAATATTAACAGTTCATTTTTGTGTTGTGGTTTGTTAGGGGGATGGTAGCAGCTTCTATCCTGGTATGAAGCCTGCTCTGGAGCTTAGGTGGGTTTAAATTCAAGGTCTAAACACTTTTCAAGAACTCCCCCACCCTGGAGGAATAAGGGCTGGTCCCTGACAGGACCACTTGAAAATAGCTCTGAGAGAGGTCCCATGTATATGTAAACATGCATGTACTTCTCTAGACTATATTCCTATATTTTCAAACTTAAGTAGCTGTCAGTGTGGTTGGATTTTATGAGCTATTACCATAACCAAAATTCTATACTTCAGTGATGGAAAAAGAAACAAACACCATGTGTTATTCAAGAGTCAGATAACTTCACTGCACTGGTTAATCAAGAAAATCTATTTTACAAAAATAAAATATAAACATAATTAACTGCAAT